ACCACAACTACGTGGCTTGGTATTACCCTTAGTAAAGGCGTAGGTGGCCTTGGTGGCTCAGAGTTCCTTTCAGCTATGGCCTTTCTTGGCTAGGGATAGTTTGACCACAAGATAAATTTCAGGTTAGAGAACTGCAATATGCTAAATATGGGGCTGCCGTGAAGAAAGGTCAGAAACTTTAACAAGTGCAGAATTCTGCTGCTAGGGTTCTTCCTATTTTGAGCAGACAGAGCTATATTATGCAAAATCTGAATGAATTACATTGCCTATTCAATTCTGAGCACAATTCAAAGTGCTATTGCTTCTCTTTCACACCTAAATGGCTTGAGATTCAAATATCTTAAGGACAAACCTCTCCATGCATTTAATCTTTGGATTATGCCTTTTTCATATTGCTTAGTAAAAGAAATACATTATGACTGCAAGAAGAGAGGGTTTTTTCCCTTGGTGGAACTCTGACATGTTTTCCTGAGACAGATTGACCTGAAACCAATGATATACTCTTCTAGCTGCCAGACTTGAAAAGAAAAGCACAGCACAGCACACAACTATTTGGTCAGGTATTTTAATTCATTTATAGTTTAACATTGTGGCAATGTTAAGGAGTTGTTTGATCCCCTTCATTGTTATGGATTGATGCCTTGTTCTGTTTTATTGTTGATGAGTTTATTTTGCTTTTGAACATGCCCTAGAACCTACTTTTGTGAATGATGAATACATATTAGAACAAACAAACAACAAATATTATAAGCATGTGATATTGGAAAAGATAATGACGGTCAATGTTGTCACACTTGGAATCATCTCCATACTGCTAACTAGATCTCTGTGTACAGGCAAGAACTCTTTCAGGAACAAAATGAATCGGGGAATTTCAGCACAAATGACAGAAGACCCTCTTTCCTCAGCATCCCTCTGTGGTTTACCACTAGAATCATCTGATACAGTTGGCCATGAAACTAACATGTTTTCTGAAATATTTACATACCACACTTATCAAATCTGTATACAAAATCATTAAAACAATTAAAATAAACTGCAAAGATAACATGAGCAAAGAAAATCTACCAGGTGAAGTATTAAAATGAGCTAATGCCATGGAATTCAGATAAGTTTGCAACAGGCACCTGAACACCATAAAGGATGATGCCTGCTGCAATGCAGGGGAAAGACTTCCAAAGGCAGGGCACCACAAAGAAGGGACTTCATTTTCTGGTTGCCATCAGAAGTATTTGTACAGGCAAGGGGACAACCACAAGGCCATGATCTGTAAATCTCAGTAAAGATGCCAGTTGATATGGCTGGTTCCAAGTGGTTTAGAGCATTATACATCAATAATACCCCACTAAACCTCGCCCAGTCAGTGCAGTTCTCTGAGCAGAAGTGCTTGCAACAGTCAGTCCCTCTTACCAGCCTAACTAAGCTGAATTTTGCACTGGCTGCAATTTCCAGTCCATGGGGTTTCCGCTAATGGAAACCCCATGTAAAGCACATCGCAGTAATCCAGTGCTGAGCTTCCCTGTACATGGATCACTGTGTCCAGAGCACCCCTATCAAAGAATGAGCATAACTGGCATGCCAATCAAAGCTGGTAAAAGGAACTCCTTTACTTAGCCCATCTGAGTTTCCATTGACAAAGATAATTTGAGGGGTACCCCTACAGTAGAAATCCCATTCAGAACAGGTAATTTATTTAATTCATGGACCTAGGAACCATCCATTCAAAGGATCTTCAACCTTTTCAGGATTTTACATTAACTTCTTGGTCCTCATCCAATCCACCAGTGCTTTATGGGACCTACACATCTACACTTAATATATCACCAGCTAATGGAGCTGCCCCCCCCCCCCCCCGCCCCACAAGCATCCTACACTGAATGGGAGTGTTTGCCACCTGCCTGTAGTTATCATATACCTCTAGGTTTAGGAGAGGCTTTTTCAGAAGTAGATGAACTTTTGCTCCTTTAGCAACAGCAACAGCAGGCATTGCTCCTTCCTATAAGGTGCTCTAGGGGTTGAGGTGACTCAGTTCCAGGCACCCTTAGAAGAAATTAATTAACTAAATCAATCCTGATTAGCTAGATCTGCCCTAGTGTTCCCTGCACATTCCCTTCCAACCACTTGCTCAAACCAGCCAAGATAGGTGAGAGGCTGTAAGGTCAGCTGAGCTCCCAGAAGGTCCTTGTCTACATCCTCAGGCCTCAGTTCCATAGATATGAACCTGAATGTCAACCAGATTGACAACAGTGCTACCAAGTGTTTTGGTTATGAACAACTTTACCTTCAAAATTAATCACTAATGGATCAATAGTGAGATTCTAAAACCCACATTTAATGGGGCAAATGTTATCAAAGTTTGAACTATATGAAAGAACTCAGCAGGTAAGGTAATAGGAGGTGTTCGCATCACTGGGAAACAAGAGTTTTGTTGTATCAGTCTGGCAATAATCGCCATACAGTTCTGTGCAGAATGGATTAAAGCGTAAAGCACTGCATTATACAGTGGATCTATAAAAACTGCAATGCTTTTCATAGGAAAGGACATGTTGCACCTTTCAATTTTTTTCTACCTATAATAATATAAGAAGATTTGTGTCTGTCAGCATCATACCGTACAGACCATAAAACCCAACACCTCAACTTAGATAATCATAGTTCTAAGGGCATCTGAGAATAACTCAAGGGTATTTTGTTTTCAAGATGCATTGATTAATTATAATTAATTTAAATATGTCCATGTGTTTGAAGATTTAGCACTATGTTCAGTGTCTAACTTACAGTGATTCCTAACAAGAGCATAGCTTTGCACTTGATATAATTAGAAGCTCTGGAGAAAAATCTGAGGGACAGAGTTATATGGCTACCCTCTCTCCACTGCTCTGGGGCAGCACATCTCAGGGGAATGGACAAGGATACACCATGGCAGAGGCCATGCCTAAGGTGTCAGCTGGCATAGTTTCACTTAGATGGGGTGGGAATACTGTGTCCAACTCTGACAGCTGCATGAGTTTGCTTGAAGGCTTTGCTGTATCAAATTAAAGGCTATAAAGCTGAGTCCATTCAATAGTTAGAAATAAAGAGACAGTACTGCCAATTGTTGTGGCTTAACTGTTAAATTGATTCATGTCATAGTGCAAGAGTTAAAGTGTAATTCTTTCAACTATGGATTTCCAACAGTTGGAATAGAGATAACAGTCACATGATCAATGACTTCTAGCTTTGTAGGGTGGCTGGCTGGAATCAGCTCTCTCTCAGACAATTCACACTTATACTTATCTGGACTTTCCAGGACTACCGTGGATAAATGTGATATATCATATCCACTAGCCCAACATCTTGAAGACTGAGTGATGGGAAGCTAATCGGCTTCATTCTGTTTGTGACTTGACTGAATAATGCCAGATTGGATATACCATGGAAGCTAGGTCAGGTTCTAGGGTTAACTCTTGGTTGGGTTAACTCTTCTGCAGCCTCCTATATACATCTACTCTTTCACCCTTCTCACATCAAAGCTAGCCTCCAAATACCAACTTCCCACCTGCAATATTCCTGATCCCTCTTTCCTCCCAAGCTCTTTCTTCCAGCCCCAATAGTTTTCCTCCTCCCATAATTTCCTCCATGCTGATGATCCTGTGCTCTTCTGGTCATTTGATGTGTCTGCTCCTTTTTCCTCACACCTCACTGGTTTTCATATTTTCCACCTTTGATCCTTCTGTTTCTGCTCTCTCCTCTTTCTTACTTTGGCTTTCCCCGATTCTGTCTTCTTTATTTTCTCCATTCCACTTTATTTTCTCCACTATTTTCTCCCCGACTGTTATTTTCTCCACTCCCAGGGCCATTTAAATGGCCTGCCTCTTGCCTGTCCCTTTTCCCCTTCCTTGGTCAGCTGCAGCTGTGGATTCTTCTCACTGCTGGGTACGCCACAAGCCTGTGGCAGCCATTAATGCTGCTGCTTCTGGGAACTGTCACTTTCCATCACTCTGACTGGGTCTCCACTATGACACAGAAGTGGAAAAACATGATGGTGACCCAATAACTCTCCACAGGTGTTTTGACTTCTAAGAATGGAATTTCTTTCTACTTAAAGCACAGCTACCATTGGGTACAACCAAAGTAGTCTTGACACCCCCCCCCCCCAAAAGAAGAATTATATCTTTCCTGCATAGGTTTCTTTTGCAAAATGTATGGAAGATATTACTATGCATTTTTCTTTTATAAATAGTATTTTGGAATTACAGTAGTTCTAATTCAAGGCACTGCATTTTTCCCAAATTTGTTTGCTCAGTAAATGAAAGTATGATGTAGTGTATGCCTCTGCAGTGTGGCCAATGAAAATTTAAACAGATAGACAGTTAGAAAGCAAAAGTACAACAGGGGTTTCACAGAATTCAGTCCCAACATGTCCATTTCAGTTGTTTCCTAATTCAGTTATGGTTTATTTCGATATTAAATACTAATTAATAAAGAATGCCTTATAACAGCTATCTATAGAAAAACTCCTTGGTTTGCATGACAAAGCAAAAAAGCAGATCTTCAAAACTGCAAATATTAATTATAATAATTGTGTTATTTATTGAAATGTCAATACAAAGAAAAACTAAGAACATTTTAACATTACACAAATTTATATTTTACATTGTTTTAAAACTGTTGTGTTAGTGTTCAGCAGTTATTGTTTTGAGATAGGATTTTTCAGTTAGTAGACAAAACACAGGAACAAATGTATATAAATGGACTTTATACAACATAAACCTAATGTTGTTTGTTCAGGCATGCATGCAATGGGATGAATTAAGAATTAAACAGGCTCGTATACCTTCATTGTTTTAGAACTGAAAAACACTTCCTGAAATAAAACAGTGTCTCTAATAGTAATAAAGAAATAAAGAGTAAAATCTGGGTTCTTGCCATTCAGAACTCAAACCACTAGTTGCCACTATTGGAAAAATGAAAGCAGTCAAAATTTCTAACAGCACCTTAATCATGACGGTTTCTCTTACCTGGTCTTTAATTTCAAGTTCTCTTCTAGTTTTTGATCTATACTCTCTGTATTCCTTTTCAGCCTCATCCTTCTTCATTTTGGTCTGATTCAATTGATAACGTATTTCTCCACACACCTGTTAGAATGAATAGATAAAGCCTGCAGTTTCAGGACTCCACACAGCAATACTTACTTAGAATGAGAGCTTTTGATGCCCTCTAGTGGCTGTCCTCTACATTTATTGTTTACTAATTAAGGATATACCTTTCTACACTTGAATTGCCTAAAGAAACAGTGTTGCTTCACAGTGATACAAAACACACATACCAGTTCAAGAGCTCATTAATACTATGATTCTCCATGATCATTCACCACTGTTTAGCTGCTATTTCCCTTCTTTGCTGATGCTTTAGTTCAACTGTTTCTATACTTCATCTATCCTTAAATAATTCCAGAAAAAATCAGGGATTACACAGAAGATGTAATGATGTCATTGTATCACACAGTCAATCAGATTTTCCAGGACAGTGATATCACTGGGGACAAACAAAGATGCACTGCCTCTTAATTGTGTCTTTGAAGGTGAGAGAACACACGTTTCAATTCCTGACGCAACAGATATCCCTTCTACTGCTATGCTGCAATAGTTTCACAACAGTCCAATATGGCAAGACAGCAATTGCTATTCCTCTTGTGTTGGCAATGTAGGCATGTTCCTTCCTTCACTCAGCCTGGCACAACATGAAGTTATTTTGAATGTTCTTTGAAGCTCTCCCTGAAAAATCACTGAAAGGGGGCACTTTTCAACGAACAAAAATAATTCACCACACTTGGAACTTCACTTCCTCTCTCCCTGTGGTGTTGTTGTTTTAATTATAAACAGGTTTCATATCGAATGTGCTCCCTACTGGCTTAAGCATCATGTGATGTGACAGAGTCTTTGTTAAATTCTGTTTCACCTGCCTCAAGATCCCCCATTTAATATAAGCACTACTTTACTTAAAAGTTCTTAACCTTACAAGTGTAAGCTGTAAATTACAAGTGTTTATCCAGACAATCGCTTATTCCATAATAAATAAGAGCAGGTTGCTGACCTGTAACTGATGTTCTTCGAGTGGCCATCTGTGCATTCACACATATGGGTGCTGCGCCTGCGCAATGCCTAGGCTGGAAGATCAGAAAGCTAACGGTTTTTGGCGGGAAAACTCTGCTTCCCTCCCCCCCCATGGTATAAATAGAGCGGAATGTCTGCCATTTTGCTCAGTCTTGAAGACCAAACGTTCGCCCCCTAATGGCTGTAATGATATTACAAGAAGCATCATCAGCATCGGTACTCTAAACACTTAGACACAATACCGATGAATAACATTTCCACTCACTGACACCGAGTGGGGCCAGAGGGTGGGTTGTGTGAATGCACAGATGGCCACTCGAAGAACATCAGTTACAGGTAAGCAACCTGCTTTTCTTCGTCGTGGCCTCTGTGCATCACACATATGGGTGATTAGCAAAGCTTACCAGACTCAGAGGAGGGAGGTGTTGTCAACGAAGAACAGATGAGAGAACTGCTCTGCCGAAAGAGCAGTCCTGTCTGGCACGGACATCCAGCCGATAATGCTTGGCAAAAGTACATGGAGCCGCCCATGTTGCTGCTCTGCAGATACTTTGAAGTGGAACTCCTGCGGCAAAGGCAAACGAAGTTGCTACTGCTTGCGTAGAATGACCTCTTGGAAATACAGGTAAGTCTATTTTTGCTAGCTGATATGCCAAGACAATAGTTTCGACGATCCATTTAGAAAGTCTCTGAGATGTAACTGGGGACCCTTTGTCATGTTAGAGCGACAGAAGGATTCTGTACGGGATCAGTAAAAGGCCAAGCAGCGTCTAACATTGAGAGTGTGAAGAAACCTCTCAATCAGATTCAAGGGCGATGGAAAGAATGCCGGCAGAACAATCTCTTGGCTAATATGGAACGATGTAGCCACCTTGGGCAAAAACGAAGAATCCAACCAAAGAACAACCTTTTCTTTGTGGAAATTTAGATATGGCTGGTCTATTCTAAGAACACAAAGTTCGCTAGCTCTCCAAGCTGATGTGACCGCAATAAGGAAGGCTGTTTTCCAAGACAGTAGACGAAGGTCAACAGTCACCAATGGTTCAAATGGGGGTTTTGTAAGTGCTTGAAGCACTACAGAAAGGCTCCATGTTGGCATAACAGGGCGCATAGAAGGGTTCAAATTCTGTAACCCTCTAATGAAGCACCGAACCAAAGGCTGAGAGAAAACCGAAGAGCCTTGTATATTGCCCCGAAAAGCCTTGTATATATATATATATAGCAGCTGCATATACTTTAATGGATGAAGGTTTAAGTCCCGAATGGTACAGTTGTAGAAGGAAATGCAATATATTCTCAATCGAAGCCATCCGAGGATCGAACAACTGGCATTCAGCAAAGGATGAGAATCTCTTCCATTTTGCCGCATAGGACCAGCGGGTGGATGGTCTCAAAGCAGACTTGACAATCGCCTGACTATCAGGATCTAAAGCTATCAGTACCAAAACACCTTCTGTCGAGTTCGAAGGAGGAGTACTCTGTACAGTTCATTGAGTCGAGTTGTCCTGTACTTGAGAAGACGTTGGAATCGAGTCAGCGGCAGGATTTAGGCGATGCGCCAGGCTGTCAGCTTCAACGATGTCAGATCCGAATGTCGGATCAGTCTGCTCTACTGTGTTAGCAATTGAGGAATTGCGGGAAGCTGAAGAAATACTCCTTTGGACAGTTGAAGGAGAGTGGTGAACCAAGGCTGTCTCGGCCACCACGGAGTTATTAATATTCCTTGAACTATTTTCGACACCATCCTTGTTATAAGCAGAATTGGAGGGAAAATGTAGAAATTCATATTGTCCCAAGGGATCGTGAGGGCATCCCCTCTCAATCCCGATCCAATACCCGCTCTTGACAGTTGGCATACCCTGTTGTTCCGGGTAGTGAACAAGTCCATGTCCGGGTATCCCCATAAGTGGAAGAGATGTTCACAAAGCCGTCTGTCCAATTCCCACTCGTGGGTCGTTGACATCTGTCTGCTCAACGTGTCCGCTTTGACATTGTTGGTTCCGGTCAAGTGAACCACAAGGAGTAATATGTCCCTTGGAATGCACCAATTCCAAATTTCCATCAATATGTGCACTAGAACTGGCGACTTTGTCCCGCCTTGCTTGTTGATGTAAAAAACAGCAGCGATGTTGTCGCAAGCAATCTGGACAACCTGATGACATAGAACAGTCTCGAAGGATTTGAGAGCGTTGAAAATCACCAGGAGCTTGAGGATATTTATGTGCTTCATTGCTTCCCTTCGGTTCCAAGTCCCTTGGACCCGAAGTCCTACACATGCTGCACCCCATCCAACAAGGGATGCATTGGTGTACAAGGTTGTCGTCAGTTGAGGCGGCTGAAACGGAACACCGACAGACAGATTTTCTGGAATAGTCCACCAAATCATGGTATGTAGGATCGACAGCAGGATCCAGATTAGCTGGGTGGGTGGATCCCGCAGTGGTTGGAAGGACTTGTTGAAGAACAGCTGTATGGGTCGCAGTCTTAGTCTGGTATACGGGATGACGGCAACTGTAGCAGCCATGTGTCCCAAGAGTCTCTGAATGGTGACGGCCGGTACCGTCCTGTTTAGTCGAACCCGATGAATAAGCTTGCAGAGATTGTCTCGATGGTTTGGAGGAAGGAAAGCTCTCTCTTGGGCAGAATCGAGGTGTGCTCCGATGAAATCAATGACCTGCGTGGAACAAGGGACGATTTCTCGTGGTTAATGCAAAGTCCAAGATAATCAAGTAAAACACAGGTTTCGTGTACGGCTGAACGAAGTCCTTGTCTAGTCTGCGACACAATGAGCCAATCGTCCAAATACGGGTATATTTGTATACCCTGAGTCCTTAAATATGCACACACTGGAGCCATACACTTTGTGAAGACTCTGGGCACAGTTGCCAATCCAAAAGGCAAGACATTAAATTCAAATATGTCGGATCCGACAGTGAAGCAAAGAAAGCGTCTATGAGAAGGATGGATGGAAATATGGAAGTAGGCATCCTTCAAGTCCAGTGAGGCAAACCAGTCCTCTCTCCTCAGCAACAGAAAGATATTTTGTAAGGTGGTCATCCGAAACTTCTGGGGTTTAATGTACCTGTTGACGTTTCGTAAGTCCAGGATCGGATGAAGACCACCGTCCCATTTCGGGACCGTAAAATATCTGGAATAGAATCCATGCAACCCCTCAGAGTTGGAGAGTTGTCAAATCTCTCCTTTATGAAGTAGCTGGAAAACTTCGTCACATAGTACCAAAGAGCGGGGTGTAAAACGAATCAGGCTTGACGGAGGAACGACATTGAATTCTATCTGATATTCGAGCTGGATAATGGACAACACCAACCTATCAGATGTAATGAACTCCCAAATGGGGAGTCGGCTTTGGAGCCAGTCCCCAAAAGGAAGAGGGGAAGGTGGGGAATGGAGAGAGAGAATGGTCCGCCCGGACCATCAACGTTGGCATTTCTCGGTGTCAAAACGTCAATGGCCCTGGGAGAAGCGTTGTTGCGGCGGTTGCCTGCGACGCTGCTGCCTCTGGTGGTATTGCTGTCGAGGCTGGTATTGCTGTTGGTAGGAGGATTGAGGCCATTGCCACTTACGTTTTTGTTGAGGAAGCTCCATGCGGCATGTGGTCATACGCGATTCATGAATCGACTTCAACTTATGGTCAGTCTTTTGATGGAAAAGTCCGGTGCCGTCAAACGGCATTTCCTCAATCCTCCTCTTCATCTCATCTGGAAAATTAGAGTTGCGCAGCCACATATGGCGTCGCAGAGAAATGGCACTGACAAGGGCCCTCGAGTCAGTGTCCACATGGTGCCTGGCAGTGGAGAGGAGTTGTATCGCCACCTGCATCACCTCCTTTATGAAGACTCTAGCCAAGTCCGCTTGTTGTTCTGGAAGGGAGGCGGCAACATTATCCAGTTTCTGCATTATGAAGTACTGGTAACGTGCCAGTGTTGCTTCATAATTCGATATGCAGAGGCCGAACCCAGAGGCCGTATAGACCCGGTGTGCGAGCGTATCGATTTTTCTCTCCTTGTCACAAGGGGCAGTGTGTCCCCTCAATTCCCTGCCCTGGGAGGACTCGACCACCACAGAATTTGGCTTCGGGTGGTGGAGTAAGAATGAAATGTCATCCTCTCGCACCCGATACATGGCCTTGTACCGATGGGACGTTGCCTGTGGTTGAGCCGGTTGAGCCCAGGGCTGGACCATAGCCTGTCGGAGCGTTGTAATAAGTGGCAGGGCTATGGCTGCGGACTGCTCTCCCCTGACAATGTCATAAAAACGATCGGTACTGGGACCTGGATGATGATGGGCCTCAATCTCCACAGACCGAACGAGATGGGAGATGAGCTCCGCAAAGGTGACATGCGGTTCATCGGGGGAGGCGGGATCCTGGGAGGTGATAGCCACATCAGGAGATGTAGAGTCAACCTCCGATTCGTCCGAGTCTTCAATATACTGGTGGTGATCACTAGACGATGCAGATTCCAGAGAGGTCAGTCTCCCTCTCTCCACTCGCCTTGACGTAGATGGGGCCTCCCTCGGCACCAATGGTGACGGACGGTCCCATGGGTAAAAGGCGTATGGTTGGTATTCACCCCAAGTAGGGAGACCACCATAGCTATGCAGCAGCCAATCATCATCTCCATGTTCGGATGCATGGCTTAGACGTCTCGGAGGCGAGGGCGAATCTGCGGGTGGTTCGGCTGCCGGCATTGGAGTAGGGGAGCGTTCCCTTGGTGGGGAGTCCCTAATATCTCCGTCAGAGATAGACTCCATAAGCGGCTCCTCTGGTTGTTGAGGAGGCACGCTCTCAGGCCTGATAGGCTGCCTGGGGGATCCAGACGGGGTCACCTGCATCGCAGATTGCAGGACCGGTCCCAAGGGAGTTGGTACCACGGTGGTGGTCGGTCGGTACTCGAACCACGGTGTTTGGGGCGGTCGGGATTTTTGCCTTTGCAGGCGGTCTTGTCTGCCTTTTCCTTTCTTGGCTTCTTATGCGCAGAGGGTTTGTCTGAGCCGGTATGCTTGCACTTTTCCTGCTTCTTAGCTGGAGAAGAAGGGAGCTGCTGGGCCTCCATAGAGGTGGCGCCTTCGTCCAAAGGACGCTGTGGAGGAGCAGTTGAAGCCAGAGCAGGGCGCTTCAGAGGTGCGCCAGCGGCAGAGGCGGAGCGCTGAGAGGGCGCAGCCGAGGAGGAGCCAGGCCTTAAGACCAGTTGGTCAGATTGCATCAAGGCCTGGTCCCATAAGAGCTTGTGGAGACGATTCTCCCTATTCTTTCTCACTTGCTTGGTAAAGGCCAAGCAATAGCCACACTTATCGGTTCTATGCCCCTCGCCGAGGCAGAGGAGGCATAGGTTGTGCAGATCCGCGGGCGACATTTTGGATCCGCACTCAACGCATTTGTGGAATGCTGCTTGCTGTGCCATCACGAAAATAGAAAAGAGATGATAGTACAGAGAGTAAGATAATATCTTTTGTTTTTGTTTTTTTTATAGGAACGAAGAAAGAAGAAAGACGGGATAAGAGCAAAAAACTTGGAATATAAGATAGGAACAAGATATAGCAAAAATATAAATGAACAGTAAGCATGAGGATCTAAGCAAGAGACGAACAGGCACGAGGCACAGTGAACGGCGGTCGCAAAGACTGAGCAAAATGGCGGACACTCCGCTCTATTTATACCACTGGGGGGGAGGGGAGCAGAGTTTTCCCGCCAAAAACCGTTAGCTTTCTAATCTTCCGGCCTAGGCACTGCGCAGGCGCAGCACCCATATGTGTGATGCACAGAGGCCACAACCTTGCGTGTTTCTGCTTGCATGGGACACAGATATCTTATTGTATGGTGGCAGTTTTGTGGTGGGGAATACTATATGTTTCCAGCACATAAACCTCAAAATGCTTTTGCAGAAATAATGCTCTTTCACAGGTACCAGTGCTATTATTTGAAATACAACTGTCGTGTGAAAAACGGATGTGTGAATGCTGCTTGTATGTATGGAATGCTTCTGAAAATAATAGTATCAAGTGATCCAAAGAGACACACTTTTATGTTTTGCTGGAAAAGTGTTTTATCACTTGCAGGCCCAATCATGAAGTTCTCTTTACCTCTGTAAAACATCAACAGTTCAGAGCACTGCTTCTCCAGTGCTTGAATCCAGCACATTTAATTAACAGGGAACCTATTCATTAGTCCAGGGGCCATGCTGGCTGATGCATATGGAAGTCACCATCCTAAACATCTGAAGGGTACCAAACTGATGACCTCTTCATTAAGAAATCTAATTAAAAAGGCATACTTATTCCTCACACAGTTATTCTACCTTCCATCATGAATAAATAGGATACTGCCACTAGAACTGAACAGGATTTAAGGATTATCCCATAAAGACCAAAATAAATTGGAAGCCACTTTAACTGGTTATCTAGATAAGAACTGTAAAACAACACATATCTTTTCTATCCCCCAAATAAAAGAATTCCAGTATAACCTATGTGTATGTTCAAACTAATGTACATATATATATATATATATATATATATATATATAAATGCAAAGTATTAGAAAGGATTTATAAACCTAGTATAACCAGATCAAAAAGGGGGCATACCTGTTGTACCTTTAAGAATTGTGCAGCAAATACGTTTTCAGTAGGTGGTGCTTGGCATATAAATGTGCTGAAACTGCTTTTTATGAAACCATAAAAAATGTAGGGTTCCCTTCCTTTTCATTTGGCAATCCTTTAACATCACCATGCATACACATGTATCTTGTGGTAAAGCATTATGATCCTTCTTCTTCAAAAAAGTGTGCCCTGTTAGCATCCAAAACATAGCATCTAGAGCTAGCCTGTTTTCATGTCTAGTGAAATCTATTTTATATTTTCAAAAAGTGCTTTTACCTTATTAATCTCCATATCATGAGAAGCATTTTGATTCTGAGCTTCTTCCAGCTGATTTGCTAAAGAAATCTTCTCCCTGGTAATCCTGTCAACCTGAGCTTCCAGACTAGCCACATTCTGAGATAAAGTCATCACCTAAAATGAAATTATAACCAGAAATCAAACAATGGGACAAAGCAGACAATCATAACCTTTCAAAATGGAAAGGATTCTGTCTTCACAGGCCAAAGGCCAAAATTTGGTTAATTTTGATTACCCTGACATTATGTGAACTCCAGCAAATGCAGAGAATGTGTTACTTAAGCATTTATGTATAAAATATTCATACATAAGATTTTATACAAAAGCCCGCTATAAAGGAAATGTAAGCACCACAATATATAAAAGTTATGTTTTTGCTATATGTAAACATACTGGGAATCCATGTCCATGTGCCCTAGAAGCAGGTATTACTTCTTCCACCCTTCTGCCCACCTGACTAAATCATGAGTAAAGGTTAGAGCATTCTAAGTTGTAGCCATGGGTATCTGGATCCTGACCATACCATCTTCTACTTGTAGTCCCCCCATGTTTTTGTATCACTTCACTGCTTTTTGTTTTTTTCAAAAAGTTGCTCAAGCAGGAAAAAACAGAACTGCAGCATCATAGATAAGCATTGTTAACTTTGTTTTAGGCAGAGTGTTATTTGGCTTTTCCAAACCCTCTCCTATGGACATAGTCTGTCTGAATATACTTTGCCTGCTTCTGTTCTGGCATGTTTCCAGATTCATGCCTATAGAAACTGTTTCCAGGTTCAGTTCTGATCTTCATCATAATGTCCTTTTAATTGATAGCACTAGAAGCCATCCATCCCGAAGTCACAATTTGAAGCCATGTAACAAAATTGGGTGTAAGCCATATAAACCCTTTGAAGCTTTGTTTAGACACTAAAGCAGTTTCAACCTTTTTAATAGGCACAAAGCCTTTTAAAAGGATATGCTTTTAAAAAGAAAAATAGCAGTACTCAACAGCTAGCAAACTATTTAGTTATGGAAAACTTTCCAAAGGGCAGCCAAAGAAAGTCTGATGTTTTGCTGTTTTTCTAAAGCTTACATCCCAGAATATTTACACAGAAAGTCATAGAAGTTTACACCCCAAAATATTTACACAGAAATTGTTAATATACCAAAGACGACAAATTTTCTTTTTCTTTTTTCATTTCTTCACAAACTGCATCATGCTCTCCAACTCTCTTTTCTAGTTGGATTGCAAACTCCTTCTCAAGACGTTCTCTCTGCCTCTCCATCTCATTTTTAAGCTGTTCACACTGGACTAGAGCCTACAGAAATGACAAAATACTTTAAGAAAAAAATGTACATTTTTATAAGGCATAATGAGAGTCAGTGTGGTGTAATGGTTGAGAGTGTTGGAGTGGAACTTGGAAGATCTGGGTTCTAGCCCCTATTCAGCTATAGAGCTACCTGGGTGATTTTCGGCAAGTCACAGCCCAGCGTACCTACAGGGTTGTTGTTGTGAGGCTAAGATTGAGAGGCAGAAGAAAATAATGTAAGCTGCCTTGAGTTTTTTGAAAGAAAAATTGGCAGGATATAAATAGAATAAATAAGGCCAAAGAAGCCTTGAAAAAATGTTGAGAATTACAAGCAGTTTTAGATTCCTTTCCAATTGAACAACAAACCTTAAAGTAAATCACAAATATTCATTTATCTACTTTTTACAATGACCAAATGCTAAGGAGAATACTACTCCTATATCTTTTTACTCCTTCATGGATCACTGCATTGTCATGGCAAAGGGGCTTGCGTAGCTCAATGAAGCTATGAGCGATGCCGTGCAGGTCCACCCAAGATGGACAAGTCATGGCAGAGAGCTCTGACAAAACGTGATTCACTAGAGAAGGAAATGGCAACCCACTCCAGTATCTTTGCCATGAAAACCCCATGGACAGTAACAAAAGGAAAAAGGATATGACGCCGGAAGATGAGCCCTTCAGGTCGGAAGGTGTCCAATATGCTACTGGGGAAGAGCAGACGGTTAGTACTAGTAGCGCCAGAAAGAATGAAGCGACTGGGTCAAAGCCGAAAGGATACTCAATTGCAGATACATCTGGTGGTGAAAGGAGAGTCCGATGCTGCAAAGATCTATACTCCATAGGAACCTGGAAAGTAAGATCCATGAATCAAGGCAAGCTGAATGTGGTCAAACAAGAGATGACAAGACTGAGCATCGACATCTTAGGATTCAGTGAACTAAAATGGACAGGAGTGGGTGAATTTAATTCAGATGACCATCAGGTATACTACTGTGGGCAAGAATCCCTCAGAAGAAATGGAGTAGCCTTCATAGTCAATAAAAGAGTAGGAAAAGCAGTACTGGGATACAATCCGCAAAATGACAGAATGATCTCAGTTCAAATCCGAGGCAAACCATTCAACATCACAGTAGTCCAGGTCTATGTCCTAACCACTGGTGCTGAAGAGGCTGAAGTTGACTGATTCTATGAAGGCCTACAACACCTTCTAGAATTAACACCAAAAAAGGATGTCCCTATCATCATGGGAGATTGGAATGCTAAAGTAGGAAACCAAAAGATAACCAGAATAACAGGCAAGTTTGGCCTTGGGGTACAAAATGAAGCAGGGCACAGGCTGGTAGAATTTTGTCAAGAGAATACGATGGTCATAGCAAACACTCTTTTCCAACAACCCAAGAGACAACTCTACACATGGACATCACCAGACGGTCAACACAGAAATCAGACTGACTATGTGCCCTGAAGCCAAAGATGGAGAAGCTCTATACAGTCAGTAAAAACTAGACCAGGAGCTGACTGTGGATCAGAACATGAGCTTCTTGTTGCGAAATTTAGGCTTAAAATGAAGAAAGTAGGGAAAAGCACAAGGCCACTCAGGTATGACCTAAACTATATTCCTGATGAATATACAGTAGAGGTGACAAATAGATTTAAGGAATTAGATCTGATAGACAGAGTGCCTGAAGAACTATGGATGGAGCTTCGCAACACTGTACAAGAGGTAGCAACTAAAACCATCCCAAGGAAAAGGAATGCAGGAAAGCAAAATGGCTGTCTGAGGAAGCTTTACAAATAGCTGAGGAAAGAAGGGAAGAGAAAGGCAAGGGAGAAAGAGAAAGATACACCCAATTGAATGCAGAATTCCAGAGGATAGCTAGAAGAGATAAGAATGCCTTCTTAAATGAATAGTGCAAAGAAATAGAAGAAAACAATAGAATAGGGAGGACCAGAGATCTCTTCAAGAAAATTGAAGATATGAAGGGAATGTTTCATGCAAAGATGGGCATGATAGAGGACCAAAATGGCAGGGACCTAACAGAGGCAGAAGAGACTAAGAAGAGGTGGCAAGATTACACAGAGGAACTATACAAGAAAGAGCTTAACATCCCTGATAACCACGATGGGGTGGTCACTGACCTTGAGCCAGACATCCTGGAATGTGAAGTCAAATGGGCCTTAGGAAGTCTGAGCAACAACAAAGCTAGTGGAGGTGACAGTATTCCAGCTGAGCTATTCAAAATCTTAAAAGATGATGCAGTAAGAGTGCTGCACTCAATATGCCAGCAAACTTGGAAAACTCAGCAGTGGCCACAGGACTGGAAAAGGTCAGTTTACATTCCCATCCCAAAGAAGGGCAATGCCAAAGAATGTTCAAACTACCGCACCATTGCACTCATTTCACATGCTAGCAAATTTATGCTCAAATTCCTACAAGCTAGGCTTCAGCAGTATGTGGACCAAGAACTACCAGAAGTACAGGCAGGATTTCAAAGAGGCAGAGGAACTAGAGATCAAATTGCCAACATACACTGGATCATGGAGAAAGCTAGGGAGTTCCAGAAAAACATCTACTTCTGCTTCATTGACTATGCTAAAGCCTTTGATTGTGTGGATCACAACAAATTGTGGCACGTTCTTAAAGAGTTGGGGGTACCAGACCATCTTATATGTCTCTTGAGAAACCTATATGCAGGTCAAGAAGCAACAGTGAGAACTGGACACGGAACCACTGATTGGTTCAAAACTGAGAAAGGAGTTTGGCAAGGCTGTATACTGTCACCCTGCCTATTTAACTTATATGCAGAGCACATCATGAGAAAGGCGGGGCTAGATGAATCACCAGTTGGAATTAAAATTGCTGGGAGAAATATCTACAACCTCAGATATGCAGATGATACCACTCTCATGGCAGAAAGTGAAGAGGAACTAAAGAGCCTCTTGATGCGGGTGAAGGAGGAGAGCGCAAAAGTTGGCTTGAAACTCAACATTAAGAAAACTAAGACCATGGCATCCAGTCCTCTCACTTTCTGGCAAATAGATGGGGAAGAAATGGAGGTAGTGACAGATTTTATTTTCCTGGTCTCCAAGATCACAGCAGACAGGGTCTGCAGTCAAGAAATTAAAAGACACTTGCTCCTGGGGTGGAAAGCTATGGCAAATCTAGACTGCATACTAAAAAGCAGAGACATCATCCTGCCAACAAAAGTGCGTATAGTCAAGGCTATGGTTTTCCCAGTCACAATGTAAGGCTGTGAAAGCTGGACCATAAGGAAGGCTGAGTGCCAATGGATTGAGGGCTTTGAATTGTGGTGCTGGAGGAGACTCCTGCGAGTCCCTTGGACTGCAAGGCGATCAAACCGGTCAGTCCTAGAGGGGATCGACCCTGACTATTTAGTAGGTCAGATCCTGGAGATGAAACTCAAATACTTTGGCCACCTAATGAGAAGGAAGGACTCCCTGGAGAAGAGCCTAATGCTAGGAACAATAGATGGCAAAAGAAGAAGGGGATGGCAGAGGATGAGGTGGCTAGATGGAGTCACTGAAGCAGCTGGTGTGAGTTTAAGTGGACTCCGGGGGATGGTGGAGGACAGGAAGGCCTGGAGGAGCATTGTCCATGGGGTCACAATGGGTTGGACACAACTTCACTACTAACAACAACAACAAATATGAGAGAGACTTCATATGCATCAACATCTCCACAAGTAAAGAAGATTCACCTTTTAAAATGCACCCTTCTACAATGTGAAAGGAAGACTGTCTTCTGTTTCAGGTGCTGCCAACTACTGAAGAACTATACTGCAATGAATTTAACCAAGAGATATTGCAACAGATGCAGGCTCCACAATGTGTAATATATAGCTGAATGCGATTCTGTCTTCCTGCTGATGGAATTTCTTTCAACAGAAGAGCTGGGAAAGGGGAACATCCTATACTTGCAATCTGCTCTGGAGAGAGGGGACCCTCCAAAGCAGATTTTCAGGTTGCACAAGACTGCTGAAGAAAGAGAAAGAAAGTCCATGTCTCTGGTAGTAGACATTTACCAGAGTTTTATCAGATTTAACTGTTGGATTAGCACTATTTCATTTCTTCCTCAAGCACATTTGCACAATGTACGTGTCTTAAGTAATATTAAGATAGTTTGTTCACACAAATCATTTTGGAATGGTGGACTCAGCCAGTGGCAGTTTTGTTTGTGTGTATGACTGCATCCAGACAACATAAAGCAGCTTATGTTGGGTTACTTTCATCAAGTTCACCTAATGGAGCAATCACTGAGCACAGGGTTATATTTAAAATGGCAGAGGTATATGCCCTACACATGCCGCATCCTTCAAACTGAGTTAGCCTACAGTGGATTTTTTATCATGCAAACAGTCTCTCTTATTTTTAATCAATTGATTGGTTCTCTAAGATGCCACAATGGACTTTTGTTGTCAGGAATCAGTGACAGGAAAGACCATACAGGTTGGGATGACATTAAATCAGAAACAGTATAAAGAAGCAAATTAACAGAGGCTAGAGGCTTGTCTGTGACTGAATGCTGTAACCTCTGTTATGACTAAATGCTGTAATCACTGTTCTTGAGATAAGCTAATTGTTGCTCTTAGTGGCTAGGTTTATTTATAAGAGAAAACAGGACGAAAAACTTTGGAAGAGTACTATGTGTTTAGTTATGCCTTTTTGGTATGGTTTGTAACATGTATAATTTTCTGACAGTCAACTAGGTGCAAACTCTTGGAATTCTCTCTCTTGCTGTCTGAATCACACATGGGTCTATCTGAGAGCTGTTCCTATGAAGCCAAAGAGTGTGCTTTTTTACCTCACAAAGTACTGACTGGGTTTTTTTTTTTTTTTAGGTACTAACACTACCACCAACACATACAGCTAACACTCTAGAATTATATCAGTAGTTGAAATCTAAAATTCATACCAATCCTTGAAGTCAGAAAATCAGTATTCTTTTTAGTGTAAATTAAAACTGTGGAAGAATTCCGGCTTGCAAAGTGTAATCATGTCCCTTGTGTGAGTCATGCTTGATTACAATTCCCTCTAAATTAGAGGTAATTCACTAATTATACAGCAGATGGCACTAGTTATCAAGACAATAAATCAAGCTGTCAAAATACACATTTAAAGTAAGTAATTAAAGTTAAAAGTTGTTCTATAATGTTCGGATAACACTCCAGCTAAATGATCTGAACACTGCACTCCTCGTATGGTGCTCTGAAATATGAAAGGCATACTGCAAGTGAAGTTTCATAGAGTAAAAATCCTCAAGTTGAACTAAGAAAGCTCATTTCTGTTGCATTCCAAATGCATGATTACAAGTGCTACCAATTAATACCAGTCAAAAGCATCCAGTCAATTGGTACGTATCTTTCTCTCTTTAATCGTTTTTTTGCAAAAGGGAAAACAGATGGAAACAACTGTGGGGAAAACACAGCAGGTGGAGGGGTTACACATGGAAGATGACATCATGCAGCCCTCCTTTATTTGTTTGCCAATGTAGACCATTCCCAGGCAGTGTGCAGCAATAAATCATAATATAAATATACAATTAAACTGAATAACCAAGGGCCACCAAAAATTGTGGGGGCAAATGATAGGCATCAGAAATCAAATGCTTAGGCAAATAAAAGAGACTTTAGCGAGCATCTGAATTGTGGATTTGGTATATGTTTGATTTCTGGGGAAATAATATTCCAAAGAGCGGGAGATACCACAGAAAAGGCCCTCTTCCTGGTTGTCATTAGATGGCTACCTGGAGGATATGACACACGCAGAGGGACTTCCAATGATTATCACAGTTGTCAGGCAGGTCTATACAAAAGAAGGTACTTTCTCAGGAATCATGCTTCTAAATTATTTAGGACCTAGATTATACTAAAACCTTAAACTTGAGCCAATGGCAAATTGGCATTTCTTTCAAAACAACGTATAGCTCTGTGCTTGAGGAAAAACAATTACACAATAAAAACCTCATCTGGAACCATCCCAGGAAGGCTGCAATACTTGCCTTTTATGAAGCATAGTACCAATTTGATTCTAAAACCAGACATATTTGGAAATACTGTTTTTTATAGTTTCAACTTCCTGAAGCATTTCTTCTGCAGAGAAGCCAACAAATTCACCTCAAACGTTTACTGTAATAAAATCCAGTGGCAAGCCTATTTGAAGCTATTGATTCTTCCCTTAGTAAGATATTGGATAGCAGCCAAAAGTCATTATAAGCAAACCCAAGGGCTTACTGAATTTTTGAACCCCTCCATATCCCATATTACAAATCAGAAAAGCCTTGTGGGGTAAGAACAAAGGCCAACTAAATGCCTATGAGAAGGCCACAAGCAGGACATGAGTCTAATAGTATCCCTTCACTCATATTCCCCAGCAGCTGGTATTCAGAGACTAATGCATGAGGAAATACATGGCTATCATGACAAGTAGTCCTTAATGACTTTATCATCCATTAGTTTGCTTTATTTCCTTTTAAAGATACCCAAGTCAGCAGTACCTGTTGTGACAGTGAATTCCATAGTTCAACACTGTATGAAGTACTTCCTTTTATCAAGTTTTGAATCTCCAGCCCTCAACTTGATTCAGATGAGCCCATCTTCCACTTTGAGGACAGAGGAAGGAAAAAATTTCCTATATGCACTGTTTTCAGCAAGCTGTTATGCAGATGTATACACACTAGTGGGCATGCTTAAAGTAGATGATTGAATTCCAACTTTTTTGCATGTGTAGGTGTGTGACTTTACCTTAGTTCTCTCCAAATTGGCTTCATCAGTCATGTGTATAGCATGCTTCACTTGCTCATAGGCATTACATTCCCTTTGCTGAATTTCACTTAGGTTTACTCTGACTGAAGAAAGTGCTATCATTAATTCATCTCTCTCTCTGTTAAAAAGCAAGGGTAAGGGAGAAATAAGACATATCAATACATGTACACAAGGAGATTTACTAAGAAGAGTAAATTCACACTTTTAGGTATGATTCTATAACATTTTATCACTCCATGAACAGTGTAAAACACAAAAGAGCTGTGGTTGTAACAATAGCTTAATTCAGATGCTTAATCATGGTAAAGAAACATAATGATGGTTTGATGTGATAGACAAACATAGCTCATGACTAGCAGCAAAACAGAATTTGAAATGCCTTGAAATGGTTTGCAAACTATACTTGTGCTATAGTTTGATGTGATGCCTGAACTGGCAGCTGGGTTGACCATTGCTCTGTCTTGAAAGACTTATTTATTTTTATACCGCCCAATAGCTGAGGCTGTCTGGGTGGTTAACAAAAGACTGATTGACATGAAAGCAGATTAACAGCTCCTGGCTATTGCCTACCTGTTGCATGTTTTGAACTTTAAATATCATTTTGGGCTGAAACCTATGATAACCATCATTTGACATGATGCTTGCAGTGAGCCAGTGTCATCCACAGCCATCTCCCTACAGCATGGGGAATGCTTGCATTATCTTAACAACTTCTCTCTTATTCAATATCAGCTTCTTCCAAACACAAGGCAAGTATACTCATTTGTCACCTGCTAACTGCAGCTAAGTATCTAACTATGCATTTGGACAGTTACAAGTTTCACAACCATCTTTGTTGATACACACCAGCTGTTAGTGCTGTTGATCAAACTTTTCTTACAGGATCTCAATGAGGACACAAGGCAGCAAAGGTAAGGGTAGACAACATTCCAATGAAATTCCCTAAAGTATTATGTTAGAGATAACAAGATTTTCTTCAACAGGTGAATTTCCAATCATGGAAACCAAGGAGATATGTAGTGTGTGCATAATCAGTGAAAGAGGGGGCACCTTGGCTGGGGCATGCAAAATATAAAGCCACTTATGTGAGTGGTTCCCAAATTACTCAGATGCTATTGAACTCAGCCCAGATCATCACCTTCTAGCCTGTCAGGAATGAGGATGGTTGTAATCCAATATCTGAGGATCCACTGAGCTGGTGACACCCTTCCACAATCACTCATTTGTAGTGAGTCATAGCAGCTGTATATAACAGTTAAAACCCATTCTGCCTCACTATTTTCATGTTTCTCTTGCTTCCTGCAAGGCAACCAGGCCATAATTCAACACACAAAGGTAAAACCATGTTTCCTATAACTCCACAATATCATGAAGATCATTAAACAAAGCCCACAGCAGTAGCATCCATGGGAAGACCAATGTGACATTGCTACCATTTCCCTCCTAGGATTCCTGTCCTTTTAAAGTTTATGACAGACAGGAGTTTAAGAGGCAAAATTATAGCCATCATGGAGATGCGTGACATAGAAAGCTGCACTTGTTACTCTGATATTCATCACACATCTGTCCTGCAAGAACGGAAAGGTGGACAACCTCATATTCCTAAGAGACTGTCAGATTTCATCCACATTGAGTCTGGGACTCTGATATGCTAAACCTTGGCTATCCCACTGAGTTAAAGCTTTATTTAGGGTCCCTATAATACCAGGTTGTAAGGCTGATATCTTTACATTCAGCTGTGTCTCTCTCCAGCTCCTTCAGAGTTAGCATTGACTTCTTAGTTGTTTCTCTAACTCTTGCCCTCCTTACCCAGTTAGTGAGTATGACCTGCTTTAGCAAGAGTTAAGCTAAGCCATATTTTCCTATTCTCTAACAATGGAGTTAAAGCTACTTTGGGGGAATGTTCATAGCTAGATTTTGTTTTAATAACTCAGCATTGGTTGGTGCTTTTACACAACTTAATACCAGAGGATACTTTACTAGCTCTTTGGTTTTTATATATACTCTGTCAAACTCTGGGGCCTTTGACAAACAGATGTACTTAATCTGAGATCATGTGGCACTAGAATTGCGCACAGATGGATTCCACTCAACTATAGTATGGAATTTCTGAAGGCAGTGGTTACACCAGAGGCTATATAGCCATGTCACTAAAAAGTGAGTGAACAGTTCTGCAACTAACTAGTGCTAGTTTGTTGTTTCCTTAACTTTTATGCCACAATAAAAATGTTTTGAAACTTCAAAGTTTTGAGTATCTTCTGTGCATCAAATGGTAACAATGTCAATTTAGTCAATTCCAGTCCCAGGTTGCAATACAACAACATGTGGAAATGTCAAAGGAGAGTCGAATCTGCAAAGAACTGCAACTTTCACAACCTCAAATGATTCTACTTCTAACATGCCACTCTAAATTCTCCTCTTAAACAACCAAAGTGCACTGTTCCATGGGGGCACTTGGAAAGAATACAACCTGGAAGAAAAAAGTTCTTGCACATAGTTCCCATCCATTTTAATAGGGTCCATACAAAACTTCAAACAGGATTGTACCAAAAAGCAATACACATAATTTTTATAAACTTTGCAAGAAATGGGAAATATTTCTATAGATAACCTATAAAAATTATTCTAATTCAGATCTAACTATCCTACTACTTACTTTGTTAGTCTTTCAATGGCTTGCATGTGGGCACTTAAATGAGTTTGGGAAATAACAGCTTCATGTTGTGCACATTTTAAGCACAGGCCAAAAACCCTATTGGAACTACTCGATGCACTAAGCAAATGTTGATGCTTTAATCTTCCACTCAGATCTTCACAGTTTTTTTGTGATTCTACTAACTCCTTCCTAGAAAGGTAATGATACACAGCATTATAAACAATAGACAAGGCTGGAGAAAAGACAATAATTATTGTAAAACAGCAGAAGCGACTTGTTCTTTATTGCTTCTAGAATCACTACCACTGATCTAAAAGCAGTCTGCTAATTCTCTAACCTTAATAGAGAGATGTCCAAAGCAAGCATGGCAATTTCACTTGCAACATAAAAATACTTTTTAAAGATCCTGAATATGTTGGGATAATATCCACATGCTTGCCAAAGAAAAATTGGTATCTTGAAAAGATAACATTTAAATGACAAAACACTACTGAGCTGGATGGTAAGCATCCCAGTGCCTTTTTAATGTCATACAACAATCCTAATAAACAGAGAAACACACATTCTCCACCATACCGAACAAGAAAACAAACCACCACACCCATGTGCAAAAGCAGGTATTTCTCTAGGGCACCCTTCTCCAATCTAATTTCCTCTAGATGTGTTGAACTTCAACACCTCTCAGCCAACCAGAACAGTTGATGGCCAGGAATTATGCAAATTTTAGTACTGCATGGCCCACAAAAGGTGGGCTGTTCTCAAGATTAGTGTAAACATGGAGAATGCACTATCACTCCATTATTGCTCATTACTTGTGTTATCACAAGCTATGAAATCTGTGAAAGATGAAAAACCTGGTACGACTAGAAAAGAGACTGAAAAATATCAATTTATGCATGGTAGTGATGGCTGTTTAATACCGCCTCCAAGCCTTTGAAAAATGTGTATGTAGGCTAAGTCTTAGATTTTATGAGAACTTAGGAAAATGACTGATGCTTTTATTATACTGAACTATGGATAAATAAAATAAAGCAAAACAAAGGAAAAAGAAAAATACTCTTTTTTACCTTAAGGATTGCACCTGAGCTTCAAGCACTTCTGTCTTTTCATCATGGAGACGTTTTAGCTTTTCCTTGGAAAAAAGAATAAAAGCACACTGCTTATGTTCTTGTAAGTTAAAGGTATGTCAAAAACTCTGGGCACTATCAAGAGCTTAGCCATTTGTAGTAACAAGAAGAAAAATCAATTTAAATCACTTATTAATAGCCCTGTCTGCTTTAGAATATAGTGATGTGACTATATATTAGCACTGAGTAAAGGTTTGACTAGTACAAGCTTCTCCAACCAGGTACTGTCCATAAGCTTTGGATTTCAACTGCCATCAGCCCAGCCAACAAGGCCAATGATCAGGAATACTGAAGGTTTAGTCCAAACGATCTGAGGGGCACCAGGGTTGGAGAACACTGGTATAGTCCAGCAATTTTTCCACTGACTGTCAGTTGCTTCCCAAAGATGCTGCAGCTTAAGATGTCTGAGAAGCCAGATAAATGTAACACTAATCTGCAGCTATGTAGAATTAAACTAAATTGGAGGCTCAGGCTGGATCTTTAGATCCAAACATCTGTTTATGGTATCACATGGTAATTTGTTCCAAAAGAAGAAGTAACAGCACCTTATGCTGTTCCCTGGCATTTTTAGATAGAAAATCGAACAAGTAATTTGTAACTCAAACATGATCCAAGCAAAGGAAAGGCTTGACTCATGAGACACAATGACAAATTAATATTATTGACATGGTTTCAGGGTGGGAGACCTTTAACTCTTTCCTTTCTCTGCAGTGTCAGCGATATTGAGGCTTGAAGTTAGAACACATCACCATCAGGATTGGACCTGGTCTTTACATTTATTTTCTATATTTAAACCCAACACCTTGAACCTGAAAGTGTTCCAAGGGTGGTTTACATTAAAATGAGAATGATAAAGTACAATATAAAATACATAAACATCATTCTATTAAACAGCAATTAGAATTCAACACACAAGGAGAGATAAAATAGACCACTTCCCATCTGCTTAAGAGGTTAAAAAACCTGGAGAAATGATAAAGAAATCATATAGTAGTACAGCTAGAACTGGTCACATAAGTGGTAGCCACATCCCACAAAAATGGTTCTGGAAAAGAGGTGGTAGAAATTACAAACCAAAAAATAGACATTTTTCCAGGGTTGGATTTATAATATGTATTTGATAGCACCAAGTCAAATTAAAAACATAAAGATCTCTTAATATTCATATGGGTAACAGGAAATGAACAGTAGCATCTTCCTGGAAAAGGGTACTGGTCTATTGCCATAATGCAAAAGCTAACATGTCTTCTATACCGCAGAAGTGTAGAATTTATTAAATTTACTTTTTTCATTATAAATATTGATTATACTTACTTTCTCCACCATTCTCTGAATGACATGAAAACTAATTTCTGGTATTAGAATAATAAATCAGATAATGCCTGATTTAATAGAATGATACAGGAATACTTAACAGATACTGACCAGCTCTAGCTGCCATTTCTCCATCTCTAACATAGCTGCTGTGGCTTGTCCATCATTATGAGAAGATGATTTAGCAGCTTCACAAACATGGGAATGATTGCCACTTACACCATGGGAATTTTGAGGAGCTGACTGAAAGAAAAAACAAAGAATAACAGAGCAAGGAATTAACTTTCCACTTCTTATTTTCTCCCAGCAATTGATGCAAACTGCATTCTTAATGTATGCAGATGATATGAACATTATATCAACAGCTCTTATTGGAAAGAGATTTTCAAAAAAAAGATTTACAGATATTTGTAAGAGACAGGGAGAGTTTGCCTGATATGGCAACCACCATGCAAATAAGCTACTCAGTGAGTTCTTTGTGGAAAAGCCCAGGAGTCACTTGATAGGCAATGGGACTCAATGTGGATTGTCCCCACCCTCCTTCCCCTTTGGTCCTCAAGCAGGACACTTGGCAACTGAAACAACTTTGTCTTCTATTCTTGCTCTGGTCACAACCCTTTTTTTGATGCTACAAAAGCTTTTTCTACCCATTTTGCACTCTCTCCCAGTGACAGCAACAGACAGCTGTTCCAAAGTGTTCAAGGGGCACACTGGAATGGCTGTCCTTGGTTCTCTACCTTAAAAATTGTGAAATGCTAGAAATGTGCACAAATACTTCCATATTTTGCAGGGACACGGGTTGGGATGACCAAAATGAAAAGTCATGCTTGCTTAATGTCAACAGTTAGTGTCTGCCATCACTGTGCAGCAGGTATCAGTTATGGATATTGACCAAAAAGGGCTTCAAATAGGTTACTTTATTACTTTGCTTCTCACTTGACAGTTGTCAAAGGAGAGCTGTCAAGTGAAAAGGTGGGGAAAGAGCTTTGCTTGCAGAAGGAGGTGAGAAGTATATCATCTACTTTGTAGCAAAATCCTCTAGTTTTGAAGTGTAGACAGTTTTCCTTGCCTTCCACCTTTCCCTGGGACTTTGATGTTCAGGAAAGAGGAAAATGCATCCTAGCCTACTTAAATGAACATGTAGTTTTGGCAGGGTTGGACAGGGTGTCCTGACATGGAATACACAGTCACTTTCCTGAGTCTGTAGCTGCTCTTGAAAAGGAAGGTTAGGATGGAAAGAAAAGGAAAGGAAAAGGGATGCCACATGCTTTGAGCACTCTTTTTCACAGTTGTCAAGTAAAGCATTCTTTTAAAATGATTTGGAAAATTTGAGCATTCCTGCAAGGGAGGGAAATGCATTTCTTTTTGTAATATAACAAGATTCCTTTCTCTTGACAACTTCAAAATTAAATGCTTGAAAAAAAGAGGGGAGAGGTATAGCTCTCCCCTTTCTGGAATACCTACAGGCTTGGAGAACTGTAGAAAAGGTGGAGGTATTGAGAATTGTCAGGGAACACTTCAAAATTAGAGGATTAAATCTGAAAAGGGGAAAACACTTGCAACCTCCTTTCAGGTCAAATACCCCTTTGCTTTTCAATTGACAACTCACCCACTGATGGTTGTCAAATGTGCACAAGATAATCTATATGCCTCCTCACTTGGTTAATATCCATGGAAGTTGCCTGCTACACTTTGACAACATATACCTACCAGAATATTGGTCAGGCAATACTCTGCACTTTGAGGAGCTCATAGATGTACACCTACAAAGAACTGAAGTGGTGGTGGGGGCAATAAAAATACAATTTAAATTGCACTCACGCCTACCATCAAAAAACAAAAAAAGGAAGGATAATGAGCCAGTGATTGATGATCTGAAGTGTCACTTGGACATCAGTGGATGACCAACTGCCACTCTTTACAACAAAGATCTCTGGAAAAACAAAACAGTGAATGAAAACTAAGTTGCAATTGGAGTAGGGAGGGGAAGCCAAGATGGGTTCTGGTGTGCAGGATCCTGGCATACCAGTTGGAGGACCAGGAGAAAGAGGGAGCAAACAGCCCATTATTTCTTACCAGGAGAACTCACACTATGCAGCTTATTCGCACAGTAGGCTACCATGTTGGGTGAACTTGACTTATTATGTACTATTGCATCAACACAACTAAAAATGATAAACAAAACTTCATTTATTAAACTTTTATGATAATAAATTAGTTCTATTTTGGTGTGTTCAGATTTGCAAAGATAAGATATGTTTAGAATTGTTTCATAGTGACATCCCTAGACAGACATTTCCTCTATTTTGGAAAGCTATGGGTGAAAACCAAATAATGAATGAATAGAAATGTCAGCAGAAAGGGAACAAGGTGTGTTTCAGCGGTCCCTCTTCTCCCTGCATCCCCTTTGTACATACCCAGTCTGCTACAGGGGGCTGGGAGACACTTGGAAGCATATTTGGAAGTGGCTAACTGAAAAACACCTTCCATCAGTGGAAGGATACTAGTTGGAGCCACCTATAAATATGTTCACCTTAACATGAGCTTATACATGTATATTTCACTATGTGCACATGAGACAAAATAAGCTTTCAGTATATAACATAGTATCTTAAATGTAAGCCTCTTCAGTTTGCTTAATGCTTGATTTGTTATAGAAATGCCATTTTAGACAAAGGCCCACTTCACACCTCACCAACAACATATTGTTAACAAACAATGGGTAGTTGGAAATGCAGTGGGAGCATCCAGACTGGTTCTCGCATTTCTTTCCTTTTCCACTGTGATAACAAGCCAGGGATGCCTCCACCAACCTTGAATCCTGGATTGACTCCACGTGGGTTGTTCATTCCCAAGATTGTTAATGTGATGTCTGAACACAGAACTCTGGGTTGCTGGGGGATGAACAATGCCAGTGGACGCAAACACACACTCATTTCCAGTGCATTTCAGTTTCTTAATGGTGGGTTGCTGATATTTTAAATTCCAGAAAACTTACTAAGACATCATGCAGCGTTTGCTCTCTCAAAGTATGCTCAAATGTTAACGTTTTCAGATCATCATGGAGCTTCTCATTTTCAAGCACAACTACATGTATACGAGCTTTCAGTTCTGACATTTCCTCCTAGAAAGGTAAACAGGTATTGGCATGAAAAAGATGACAATAAGATTGTTGGTGCCAATCTCGACACGATTGAAAAATTTACCAAGTGCCTCCAGAGGGTACTCCATCAGCCAACGCACCAGCTACAGCATAATCAATAATCAATTAGGAAAATGCAGCCCAGAAATAGATTTTTTCTGTTTAAATTCCCACAAATGCCAAAAAGCCAGATTTCTATTACCTGGAGGTGCTCTGACATTGTTCATTCAACTGTGCAGAACTCTTCTGATACAGAGCATTGAGTAAGTACAATTTTTAAAAATCCATTAAGTCACCAACATACCCTGAAGTAGGAGTACATCTATACCAGAGGAAAAAAGAAGGATTGTTTCAAAGAACCAATGAGTTTGCAGGTAATAATATGAATGTGGTGAAAGATAAAACTGAGGCTCCGTGTATGTCTCCGTGGTTATGTGTACATCTCCTTGAAGTCAGAAGGGTCTGGAATTGGATATGTAAACAGGTTGCTGGGTATGTAAGATGAAGAGACTGAAGAAGTGAAACAATTAACTGCCATCATATTCTGAGCAAAGCAGGCTGGAAACCAACCCACTTGTTGCTTATTGCTCACAGTCCTTATGTTTTCAATGCATCATCAGAAACTCAGCTAAAAGGCAGAAAACTGCTGAACATTTAACAATAAAATCTGTGTGTGAATGGTCAGCAGTACTCACTACCTCTTACCAGATACCCAGTGAGTTGCACTTAGCCTCATGGCCTGCAGCTCAACAGGTTGCCAGGTCAATACTCAGAGAAAGGACTGCTAATGAGAGAGGCACCTCAGGCCAGTGATGTGTTATGCTTTGCTTCACTTGCTGTTTGCTACCCGGACAAAATGAACAACACCTGAAGTGGGTCAGAGATGAAGAGAAGCAAAGGGAAAAGGGAGATGATAAAAGAAGGACAGGAGAGAGGGCAGGAAGAGGATACACAGAAGATGCTACAATGACAGCAGAGGAAAGCCAGGGCAATGGAAGGACAAGCACAAAGGAAGTGCAAGGGAAGATGTGACTTGAGTGACTAAGAACAGGTACATGTGCTGCTCTTGGCTGGGGCATGGGGTCAGATTACTGGCTGGTTAAGTCTGCATCTTTGGGAGGAAAAAAAACTTTTCCTTGCTCCCTCTATCACAAACTCTGAATTGAACTGAATAAGCAACTTACTATGAGCTTTGTTCAGAGTGCAAGGAAGACTTGGGGTTTGAACAGAATTGTGCATTAGATAAAGGCTGGAACGTGGGACTGCCTGGGAAGCAAGCAGCAGCATTGGGCTTATCACAGGCTATTCATCCAGGAGTTCCTGGAAGTAGCAGTTATTTCCTGGGGAGGAAAAGATCCCTTCCATGATGCATATAGTTCCATAATAGGATGTTATTATGGAGCAGTAATTTCCCCATTTGGTTGAAGTTTAAATAGACTTTTGGTGCATGTAATTAGGAATACCTTCAATAAAATTCATTGCAACCCCTTTGACTATCGACCTGCTGATGGACAACATGAAGCAAAGGGAGTTTGACATCCTCCTTCCTCCAGACCCACTAACACCATGCCAAATGGTTACAGTAGAAAAACTGAAATACTAACTGAAATTAAAAGCAAAGTCAACATATCCAATTTTTACAAAATGTGGCACAATTTTATATACACACTAGGAAAGTATAATTAATGTTTGTTAAATATTTCCTCAAATTAGGAAAAAGACTAGATGTTTGAAGAACCATAAAGGAAACCTCAAAGCAGTCACTAGATTCTACCTAAAGTTGTAGGAGAAGATAATATACCACCTTCTGTCAATAATTAGGTTTAAAGCTGATGTAAAAGAAAAGAAACAATTACTTTCTAGTTCAAAAACAGCTGACTAAAGAAAGAAAACTATCTTTCAATGGAGCTCTATGTCTAAGCAACAGAGATCAAATATCATGGTCTATTTTCAGGAGATCTACATATTGCTTCTGTTTTGAATATACATAATTGTATGCACATGTCTTCAACAAATAATTCACTTGAAAGATTAAATCAGATTAAGCACAATATTCAATACCTTGCAAAACTTGACTTCAGCCTCTAAATGGTGAATATATTGAGACTGATCATTAATGATGGGAACAAGATCACAAAGTGCAGGCAAATTCTGATCTGTGGAAGTTCTCTGGAGGAAATAAATCAATCAGTTACATTAAGAAATTTAGACAAAACTCTCTCCAACAAAATTCATATTTTTAAAAAGAATACTTTAAATAGGATAATTTACATAATGTGCCCCACTTGAGTAGAGCATCAGCTTTCTACTGAAAGGGAGACTGTAGAATCAAATCCAAATTCTCGACTGCCTTTATTAATGTAACTTACAAGCTCACTCATATTTTCACTTTAAAATAAGCTTTTTAGATGGTTATTTTATTTGCTTTATTTAGAATATTTTATACTATTCATCAATTGAATGGCTCTCTGAAAAGGTTTACAATAAGTTAGTATGACAACACCCTGCCTCCCTACCAATTCTCTCTCTCTCTCTCTCTCTCTTTTTTAGATCCTCACTGTTCTGATATGCATACATGTATACTTCTTGTACATTTGTAGTCCCTTCTCTCAGTATGCATACTGGATAAGACTAGAGGATAAGGTTAGGCTGAACTGAATCAGATAATATGGAGCTGATGGTTGCAGGGTTAGCTTGAGGGTTTGGGACAGTCCTAGTCTGGGTATTCTCTTGAACACTCTGGGTCCAACTTCTCCAAGCTTCCTTCCTTGACCTGGCATCCTCCAGATGTGCCTACAATTCTCATCCCATCCAGCATGGCCCTGCTCTATATCCATCCTTTTTCAGAAGTTATCAATAGTCATCATTAAGATGCAGAGTATTCTTGGTGAATTGCCCAGAATTTTTAGATTCCCCCCTCCCACCCCTCTCAACAGACACATTTGTGTTCTTCCCTTCTGGCTTTCAGGCGCCTCTGTAACACTTGCCAGTTTATTCTCTGACCCAGTTAAGTGGTATGAATTGCACTCTCTGTCATTGTGTACCCAGTGACTTTTACAACAAAACTACAAATAACATTAACATATAATACAGAGGGAGCAAACCTAGCCCCTCTTTGGATGTTTGGGAAAATTTGTTCTGCAAGCCGTCAACTCCACAAGCAGAGATATTCAGAGGCAGGTTGGACATCCAGATCAGTTCTGCTCTTGATAACACTGAAGCCAAGTACTTTTCTCATATTCAGTGAAAGGTATCTATTTACTACTCTATTTACTACTCTTCAAGTTTTCAAAATTTCAAATATGTGTTATTAGTAACGAATACTTTTCCTGCAGCAATAGACCAAGCATGCCTTGGAGGAGTGACTTGTATGCAAAGCAGCAAAATGCTTTTACCACTCTATACCCTCCCTACATTTATTTAGCACGTTTAATATGCAAAATGTTTTACACTCTTTAGAGGAACAGATGTTTCAGGAAAAAATTATATAAGTACAATTCCATATATCATTCTCTAGATTACCTATACAGATCTTTTACTGCATGAAAAGGCTCCTCTGAGAAATTCAGAACTGCATCTCCTCTCTTTTGAGCATCTGAACCCCATGATATGCTAGTTTGTGCTCTACCAACAAGAAGTAAGATAAATTAAGCTCTCTTGCCAATTCATCTCTCTCCTACAACTGGCTATATCCATGCTGGCTCTGCTTTTCTAGATTTAAGGTGCTAAAATAAAGTTATATGACTTAATTTAAAGAAAAACAGCTACATATTTAATAAACACATTTAACTTTCCACACTAGCCTATTAATACCTTGTTAAATGTCTACATGACTCACCAAGTGTGACAGTATAACTGTTGCTTAAATAGAGTCTTTGCCAACAAGCATGTAATTATTTGTTCACTTAAAAAGAAAAAAGAGAATCATGCTTACTGCAGGCAACATTCTCCTCCTCCTTGAAGGGGATGTTTCACTCACTTTTTCTTCTTGTTGTTGTAACAAAGCTTTAAGTTGATTAACTAAAGAGAACAGTAAGAGATATATCTTAACTCTTATTATCATTTTAGATTTAAGCAAAGCCAAAAAATGAAAGTGTCAGACCTGCATGGCTGTACTGCAGCTCCTGCCAAGCTCTCTCCTCACCCTCTTCATGGCTTGTATTAGGAAGTAACTGAGCAAATGTAGCTGCACTTTCTCCCATTGCCAAATGATCTTCATCCAAGGCACACTTCAGTTGATCAAGGCTTTTAGTAGCACGGTCTGTGAATAACAACACTTTTTACTGCGTCATTCACTGTGTTAATTCACTACTTACTTCTTACTTGAACATGCATATATACAATGATATACATACAATTCAATATTCACAATCAGGACCTATGGAACTGACCAAACGAAAACAACTTAATACAGATAATCTTTTGTCTGCACTGCCTGCTTCTGTAGGTCCTTCACAGAGTACAGGACAACCTATGCTCCTAAACAATACAGAAAGATGACAGCTGTCCTGTGCCTGACATTTTCAAATATGAGGTTTTAATTTACATCAGGCCTGCTGCATCTTTAAGAAGGAGCAGAAAACTCCTGCCCTGTAGGTAGAACTATGCCTCTTGACTCTATTCACTGTCATCTTTACTGATGATGTATACCACTGCAGACACAATAAGAGCTAAGAGTCACATTTCAATCAATCACTAGCAAAATCCTACCATCTTCTAATTTCCAAGCTTCCCTGCTGACCATTTTGAATGAAGACTGCTGGATATGAAATAGGATATCAGATGAGAGGTAGTAATCATGTTTGGGAGAGAGAGAGAAGGCTAATTTGTATTGCTATTTTTGGGGAGCTGCCTTTAAGAGCTTACAGCAGTTGAAAAGTGAGAAATGACAGTCTTGTTTTACTGATTAAATGTAAGATACATCAAGAGATTTCTTGGCTCAAGTATAGTATAAAAATACTTGAAATGAATAAGTAAATCTTTAGTAACACAAGTGTTAGTGCATGGAGTGATAGGGCAACCTTCATAAATAAGCTTTGAACTATTAGAAGTGATTGAGGGAAAAACCTGCATGATAACCACCTTTACTCCCTTTCAATATGGTTCCTGCTTGAGATCAGAAAAATATGTATTTTTAAATAAATAAAATATAAAGTAATTGTGCAGAGCTATAGATGGGTTTTGAATAGTCAAAGGTAGAGTCTGATGTGTTAAGATTTAATCTATTTCCAAACAAGACACTGAGACTGGATGATTTGTATGCACAGAAAAAGCCATAAAAACAGGTGATCCAGAGACGCAAGTAATGGACAGCATATACATTTTATAAATAAATAAATCTAGATATAGGCGATATTAAAAGCTAATAAGCTCCTGAAGGGCATTTCCAATGCAAACCTTCACAACTGAAAATGCCCTCTCCCCAGTCAACACTGTCCTAAATTTAAATATATTTTGCTCATGTTGTCATTCTACTTACATACTGATACAAGACTAATATAACACCAATATCATATGCTGATGCAACAAACTTCCCTGGAGAATCTATTGTGCCTGTAAATACTATTCGTCTCCATCATGGATCACTGCCTTGTCATGGCAAAGGGGCTTGCGTAGCTCAATGAAGCTATGAGCTATGCCATGCAGGTCCACCCAAGATGGACAAGTCATAGCAGAGAGCTCTGACAAAACGTGATTCACTAGAGAAGGAAATGGCAACCCACTCCAGTATCTTTGCCATGAAAACCCCATGGACAGTAACAAAAGGAAAAAGGATATGACGCCGGAAGATGAGCCCTTCAGGTTGGAAGGTGTCCAATATGCTACTGGGGAAGAGCAGACGGTTAGTACTAGTAGCGCTGGAAAGAATGAAGCGACTGCGTCAAAGCCGAAAGGATACTCAATTGCAGATACATCTGGTGGTGAAAGGAGAGTCCGATGCTGCAAAGATCTATACTCCATAGGAACCTGGAAAGTAAGATCCATGAATCAAGGCAAGCTGAATGTGGTCAAACAAGAGATGACAAGACTGAGCATCGACATCTTAGGAATCAGTGAACTAAAATGGACAGGAGTGGGTGAATTTAATTCAGATGACCTTCCGGTATATTACTGTGGGCAAGAATCCCTCAGAAGAAATGGAGTAGCCTTCATAGTCAATAAAAGAGTAGGAAAAGCAGTACTGGGATACAATCCCCAAAATGACAGAATGATCTCAGTTCGAATCCAAGGCAAACCATTCAACATCACAGTAGTCCAGGTCTATGCCCCAACCACTGGAGCTGAAGAGGCTGAAGTTGAACGGTTCTATGAAGGCTTACAACACCTCCTAGAATTAACACCAAAAAAGGATGTCCTTCTCATCATGGGGGATTGGAATGCTAAAGTAGGAAACCAAAAGATAACCAGAATAACAGGCAAGTTTGGCCTTGAGGTACAAAATGAAGCAGGGCACAGGCTGGTAGAATTTTGTCAAGAGAATACGATGGTCATAGCAAACACTCTTTTCCAACAACCCAAGAGACGACTCTACACATGGACATCACCAGACAGTGAACACAGAAATCAGATTGACTATGTGCTCTGCAGCCAAATATGGTGAAGCTGTATACGGTCAGGAAGAACTAGACCAGGAGCTGACTGTGGATCAGAACATGAGCTTCTTGTTGCAAAATTTAGGCTTAAATTGAAGAAAGTAGGGAAAAGCACTAGACCACTCAGGTATGACCTAAATCACATCCCTGATGAATATACAGTAGAGGTGACAAACAGATTTAAGGAATTAGATCTGATAGACAGAGTGCCTGAAGAACTATGGATGGAGGTTCGCAACATCGTACAAGAGGTAGCAACTAAAACCATCCCAAAGAAAAAGAAATGCAAGAAAGCAAAATGTCTGACTGAGGAAGCTTTACAAATAGCTGAGGAAAGAAGGGAAGAGAAAGGCAAGGGAGAAAGAGAAAGATACACCCAATTGAATGCAGAATTCCAGAGAATAGCTAGAAGAGATAAGAATGCCTTCTTAAATGAATAGTGCAAAGAAATAGAAGAAAACAATAGAATAGGGAGGACCAGAGATCTCTTCAAGAAAATTGAAGACATAAAGGGAATGTTTCATGCAAAGATGGGCATGATAGAGGACCAAAATGGCAGGGACCTAACAGAGGCAGAAGGGATTAAGAAGAGGTGGCAAGATTACACAGAGGAACTATACAAGAAAGAGCTTAACATCCCTGATAACCACGATGGGGTGGTCACTGACCTTGAGCCAGACATCCTGGAATGTGAAGTCAAATGGGCCTTAGGAAGTCTGAGCAACAACACAGCTAGTGGAGGTGACAGTATTCCAGCTGAGCTATTCAAAATCTTAAAAGATGATGCAGTAAGAGTGCTGCACTCAATATGCCAGCAAACTTGGAAAACTCAGCAGTGGCCACAGGACTGGAAAAGGTCAGTTTACATTCCCATCCTAAAGAAGGGCAATGCCAAAGAATGTTCAAACTACCGCACCATTGCACTCATTTCACATGCTAGCAAATTTATGCTCAAATTCCTACAAGCTAGGCTCCAGCAGTACGTGGACCAAGAACTACCAGAAGTACAGGCAGGAGTTCGAAGAAGCAGGGGAACTAGAGATCAAATTGCCAACATACACTGGATCATGGAGAAAGCTAGGGAGTTCCAGAAAAACATCTACTTCTGCTTCATTGACTATGCTAAAGCCTTTGATTGTGTGGATCACAACAAATTGTGGCACGTTCTTAAAGAGTTGGGGGTACCAGACCATCTTATATGTCTCTTGAGAAACCTATATGCAGGTCAAGAAGCAACAGTGAGAACTGGACACGGAACCACTGATTGGTTCAAAACTGAGAAAGGAGTTTGGCAAGGCTGTATACTGTCACCCTGCCTATTTAACTTATATGCAGAGCCTCTTGATGCGGGTGAGGAAGGAGAGCGCAAAAGTTGGCTTGAAACTCAACATTAAGAAAACTAAGATCATATCATCCAGTCCTCTCACTTCCTGGCAAATAGATGGGGAAGAAATGGAGGTAGTGACAGATTTTATTTTCCTGGACTCCAAGATCACCGCAGACGGGGACTGCAGTCAAGAAATTAAAAGACGCTTGCTCCTGGGGAAGAAAGCTATGCCAAATCTAGACAGCATACTAAAAAGCAGAGACATCACCCTGCCAACAAAAGTGCATGTAGTCAAGGCTATGGTTTTCCCAGTTGCAAATGTATGGCTGTGAAAGTTGGACCATAAGGAAGGCTGAGCGCCGAAGAATTGAGGCCTTTGAATTGTGGTGCTGGAGGAGACTCCTGCGAGTTCCTTGGACCCCAAGGCGATCAAACCAGTCAGTCCTAGAGGGGATTAACCCTGGCTGCTCTTTAGAAGGCCAGATCCTGAAGATGTAACTCAAATACTTTGGCCACCTAATGAGAAGGAAGGACTCCCTGGAGAAGAGCCTAATGCTGGGAGCAATAGATGGCAAAAGAAGAAGGGGACGGCAGAGAATGAGGTGGCTAGATGGAGTCACTGAAGCAGTTGGTGTGAGCTTAAGTGGACTTCGGGGGATGTTGGAGGACAGGAAGGCCTGGAGGAATATTGTCCATGGGGTCGCGATGGGTCGGACACAACTTTGTAACTAACAACAACAACATACTATTTGTGTTGTGCGGGAGGTTACTTAAACTAGTGGTATGCCAATGGTGAAATTCGAGCAGCAGAGTTGTATTCTGACCAACATTTTTATTTGAATAAAAGCACTGATATAATAATATTTAAATCACCTCAAGTGTCCTTTAATTTTCCCTTTTGAATATTTCAGGTCAAATAGTTGTGGTTTATTAGGACAAAAAGTGAGCTTATCTTCACTGTTTACCAGGGATTCAAGACAGAATATTTTTCAAAGCAGAAAATATTCTAGAAAAATTGTCACTGCTTTCTTTTCTTGCTTGCATTTTAAAGAAAATGTTTAATTTTTACTAAGTTCATTATTAAAAATGAATGTGTGTTAACTGAAAATACAACATTGGGTAAGCTTGGCAGCTTTAAAGCCAGGGTGCATAAAAATGGATTTAATTTGGATATTTTTATTTAAATCAATTTTTTATTTAAATTGGATTTTTTTAAAAATAAAATGCTTTTTGAGGAAAAATCTATCTAAAGATAGCTTCCTATTTATGATACATTGTAGTCCAAAGGTTATGCATCATGAAATAAGAGTTAGATTTTAATTATGTAGCATGAAGCTATATATTCATGCAGTGTTTATATTTTTTTGGTAAATGAATCCATTCACAATGTCATGTTCTTCCAGAGGTTTCTGTAAGATTGTCGGGCAGTCTTTCTACCTAGAAGTTATTATCACAAATGCTTGGTTTTACAGTTTTCAGAACTGTGAATGTGTGTCTGTAGAGATCACATTCTTCACATCATCTTCTTCACTGCAAAAATGTTATAAAATAAACACACAGAGCTGAGAAAAAGAGCTTAATCCTATTGTTCCTTTGCAAATCTATGTGCACACAAACAACCCCTTACCTCTTAAGTGCAAAGTTTCAAAGAATTCAATGAACAGAAGATTTTTGGTAGTGGAATAGAGCTGCACAAGAAGCTCAGTGTGAAGAGGGAGGGGAAAGCAGGAAAAATGAAAGTTAAAACCTTTGAACAGAATCCACAAGTTTTTGTATCTTTTTGTGTAAAGTCTGAGGTTTATCATATTCTTTCCCTGAAGAAGAAAAAATAATGGCAGCACGCTGTTAAAGAGACCCAGTTTGGGAATATTTTAATGAAGCTTCCTTGCGTGCAGGAAAGACAGGCATGCATGCAAATTATGTAGAAAACCATGATTTAACTCTAGTCTTACTGACTAGTGATTTAAATTGTGATTTAAATTGATTTGACTTAAATCAAATCCACCCTGTTTAAAGCTGTAATTAATGTTTCGTAAAATTAGCCTTAGCAAGTATGTGTGTACATATGTGGGAGAAGTGTATATATAAACACACATGTGTGCATTTTAGAGTGAAATGAAACTAATAAAGAGTGACTGCAAAACTAAAGGTGTCTCAACAACCTTTAGTGCACTTTTATCTGGATTGATAAAATGTTTTAGTGTCAACAGTTTTCTGTGAAAATAGAGTACTTTTTAAAACTTTGCTTACTAAAAACAAGTAAAATAAACACGCCAAATTGGTTCTCTTGATGACAAGTGTGGGAAAATGGAGACCTTCGGGATGCTTTTGCCTAAAGCTCAAATAGTTCTATTCAGCATAGGCAATAGTGCAAGATAATAATTGATGGTCAAAACATAGGTGGGGGGCATAAGTTGCCCATCCCTGTTCTAGTGCATCAAAACATTTTCCAATGCAAACTGATTTTTTTTCTTATGTAGATGAACCTAATTTGTATTGAAATTTGTTTCTGATACCATATATAAAAGGATACGATGCCCATAATATTAGCGATCTTTCTCCTGGGAACATGTCTTCTATGATGGTGTCTAAAAGTTTCGGTGTCTAAAAGCAAGCTTGAAACTTGCCTGAAATACATCCACAAAATCAATTTCCCTCAAAGGAGGGAAACCACTTTTCCTGAAAAGGACTGTATCTTGGTTTCCTTTTACTATGGACCCTGATGAGCCAAGGGATATCAAGAAATAGAGCCTCACGTCCAAGTCAAAACAGAGGCTAGTAAATGAGCGCAAGGGTCCACATCATCTCAAAATACCTTGCTTTATTCAACAACACAAACTGATCGGGAGGTAAAACAACTCACAGCTGCTGTAGTCTGTTTCTTTTCTACTGAACTTTGATGAACATTACCCACCCACTCACCCCCATCCACGGAAGCAGGTTGTCGTGAGCTTGCGTTTTAGGTACAAACGCAAGACTTAATCCGTGCCAAGCAGCACTGAGCTGGTGGACTTGCCAGAAGAGGACTCCGGGACCCATCCAGATTCCATGACAGCGAGTAGGACCTGCCCCTACCGCACCTGTCTCTCCCTCCTCTCACCACGTAAGCCTCGGTGATACCGCTCCAGAGATTCTTCCAAGTCCGACTCTCCTCCGACTTCCCCCATGAGGGTAAACGAATTCGACGATCCACCCCAGACGGGTCTTGGATTGTACGTCGCGACTCTTTCCTCCGCCTCCACAGACTCTAAATGTCCCTGCATTAGGAAGCGTGCGAAGGTGAGCTTTCTCCCGGGGGCTTTCGGTAGCTGTAGTCCAACCCGGCCGGGATTGTCTCTAGGCACAACAGAACCCGTACGGGCAAAAGACTGCAATCCCCAGGGCGGGCTCCAATGCTTCTTTAGCCGGAGCTGGTTGCTAGACAACCAAGAAACGGTCTTTTTTTGGCTCTCGCTGTTGGGGGCGGGAGGAGGAGGAGAAGGATCCGCCTGTGTCTGTCACTAAGCAGGCGACGTCCACCTCTCCACCGTGGCTGTTAGGGCGGGTAACTTCGTTTCGCAGTTCCGTACACTGGGGACAGAAAACTTCCTATGCCACCCGGCATGCAATGCGGCATAACTCTGACGTATGCCGATTGAGCTCTTACCGCACTTCTTTCTGGGATTTGTAGTTACTTCCTCCCACAAAAAACCGTTATCGACGCTGCCACCGGCAGAATAGGATTTTGACACAATATTTGTGCTTTTACCGTTCACTCACAACCAGTGGGCAGCTAAAAGATACAAGATAGGTTTAGTAATCTTACAGGAGCGACAAAAGCAATAGCCATCTTCACCACCTCTCCAACGTTCCTCAAAAAATTCACCAAACACTTAAATTTCCAAAAGAGGTGCTTTTTCCTTGCCCCCACTCTCTATTGTCTCCGAAATATGACGCCTGCGCACCACGAGCTACTCTGTTCAGCTGCACGCTTGCGCCGCAGACGCTTTCAGGGGGTATCAAAAATCCGTTCTTTTCATTTCCCCTCCCCCGCCTCCTGTTAGCTGCGTGCGCGCGCCTGCGCGCGCGCGCCCTGGGGCGGCGCCTGCGCGATAGCTTCTCCCTATTCCGCGCCGTTAGCCGCTATATGCTGGGAATAACGTTAGAGCGGTTGCTACCGCCGGAGCCACGCAGGGAGGCGGAGGGTCCGTGAGCGCCCTTTCCTCGTCCCTCCTCCCTCCCGCGCGTCCTCGCCGTGGAGGAGAAGATGGTGGGCCAGTGAGCCGGCGCTTCGGGTTTCCCGAGGGGGGGTGAGTGATGCTGCGGGGAGCCTTTGCCCGTGCGGGGTGGTGTCTCCTCTTCCCGGTGAAGGAGGGAGCAGTAAATGCGGCGCATTGTATCTGTTTCTCCCCCGCCCCTTCCTTCTTCATCCGCGTTTGCTCCGCCGCTGCCCTTTCTTGTCTCCGGAGTGGCCTCGACCCTAGCGCGGGCGTTCAGCGCCGGGGTTTAGCAGAAGCTGCCGCTTTGATTACGATCGCTCTTTTATTTTTCGCCAGCGCTTTTGCCGCCGCCGCCGCCGCGTTTCCCTTTAGTCTCCCGGGTTTTCTGCCCTCCCTGCCCGCAGAGCGCTGTCCTCTGGGATTCAATAAAAGCGGCTGCTGTTGCTACATGAATATGAGGGGGATGGCCCAGATTGGATGCAGATGGAGCCACTGAAACCTCCGTTTCCTCTTCCCCTCCCCTCCGCCTTGCCAAGATAACAAACCTTCCCCCGGGCGCTCTCTCCAGAGGGGTGGAGGCTTTCCTCTGCTGAGTTCATGCTCCTGGCTTCATCCCCCGCCCACCCCTCTGGAAAACGTGTCTGGAGGGGCGTGCGGGGGTCAGATCTTTTTCTTTGTGCATTTTATCCTGGATCTCTCCCCCCGCCCCGGTGTGTGCGTGCAAACGTATAGGTTCTGCTTTGTCCATTTGTTTCCAATTAGTTTTATGCTTTCATTAAACAAAAAAAATCTTTCAATAAATTGAAGGGCGTCTGCGAGGTATGCCGAAAAGAATTTGAAGCTTCTGTCTTCCAGCCTGTCAGGCAACCCCTAACAAAAATGACACATAGTTTTACACATGGGAAGGACAATACTGGGCTCTATTATTCTTTCTTCTGCTGTCATCTGCTCTGATAACATCTGTGTATGCGTTTTCTCTGTATTCTGTGCATTAAAAGCATCTATAGGGAAATGCATATGGCTTCTCAAAAACTACATGTATTAGGAAAGTAACGACCATTTGTAGAAAGGATCCTTGCAAATTATTCATTTTGTGCGCACACAATGAGCAGAGTCATGGCAGCTTTCTTGGAAGGGAAATATACTGGTAGCAAAGGCAATAAGATTCTTAAGAGCAGTTTTTGAAATATCTAGCATTTTGTGAAAGAGGAAGCTGACTCGACTGTGAGCCATATGACAGCTCCACAGATGAGCCTTCTTTTGTGATCTCATCCACTCATTGCTTGGAACCGGATGCTAGGGATGGGGGAAGGGAAGAGGAGGGTTTCTGCCTAAAACTGCATTCTGCTATATTTGTAAGTAAGTTAATCTATTCTTTGCTATAAGGGCAAGACATTGCTTGTGTATGCGATCAAGAAATTGCAAAGCATATTGAAAATAGGCCATCGCCGTTCAGAAATTGGTACTTTTGTGTAAGCGCTACATTTTGAATAAGAAAGCTGAGGAAGTTAGTTGTTAAACTGAGTTCAAATATGTACCGCTTACACATTGTGTATGACTAGTGCTATTCAACCTTAAAAAAAGTAAAATGTAAGTATTCAGGCAGTATGTTCCCATGCAATGAATACTTTGAATCAAATTATTTTCTCATTTTGTAAGTGTAAAGCTTATTCTTCATAAATATATTTATTTGAAATGATGTGCTTGATGTCCTAAACTTGCATTGAGGATTCTTAATATTTCACATTGTTACAACTATACAAACAAAAGGGCATATTCTAGGACAGAAAATTAAGATTGAATAATTCATTAAGTCTTAATTAATAACTTCTATGCAAGTTTAGATAGAAAAAAAGTCCTACACCTCCCACAACTCTTCAGCCAGCATGGTTGACTGGTGAATGTTGGTGGTTGTAAGGCTTCTTGCAGCTTAAACATACACAGGACTGAGACTAATACGATAATCTGAAAGGAGGAATAGAGCTTACTCTAGCAAAGCACTTAAAACATAATAGTTCAAATGGATGAAAAGATGTCATCTCATTAAATGAGCTAGCTACTCCTTAGTCCAGCAGCTGCCATGCTTTAGTTTTAGCATGTAGCAATAGCAGCACGAAAGTGCGATACATATTTGCTGTTTTGGATACTTTGGTCAGACTGTTTCTATTTTGTTGCATGCCAATCACAAAACTCAACCATGGTTGAATAATTTGCTTCATGGATTTTCACAGAGAAGCAGATGCTTCAAGTAGCCCTTTATTTTACAATATTGCATTTCCGAGACCATTAAAAGACATTGTTCATAATGTCTCCAGATTTGGAAGGAGGGTCTTGCATGCAGCTTGAAACTACCACTGTCCCTACTTTGAAAAAAATGCTTTGAAAATCTGTATCTCCTTAAGATGATAAGCTAATACAGACTCTGGCTAGAACATCAGTCAGTCTTCCCTCCCTTTCCCCTTTTGCTTTGTTTACTCTCTTGCCTGGTGAACAGTTCTGGACAACTTGAAACGTAACATTGTAATTTTGGACTTTGAGTTATCCTAATGTGATAACTCAGTCTGTTACAGGGATGTGTCTATTCCTGTAAACTAATGGTTTGAAGGGTTGTGAGAAGTAGCATTTTAAGAACATAAGAAAAGTATGTTGAATCAGAGCAATGGTCCATTCAGTCCAGTAGTCTGTTCACAGAGTGAGAAAGCAGCTGCACACAAACATTCAAACAGAATGAGTGCAAGACCCTCCCTGTGCCCCCTTCATACTCTTCAATAACTGGTTTATGCAGGCAATGCCACTTCTGGCAAAGGAGGTAGCACACAGCCAGCAAGACCAGTAGCCACTGATAGCTTTCTCCTCCATGAATTTATCCATTCCCTTTTGAAGCCATCCAGATGGGTGGCCTTCACCACTTCCATGGCAGCAAATTCCATACTTTGATTAAACACATGAAGAAGTATTTTTTTAAAAATCTCTTCTAAACCTCGCCCTTGAATCAACTTCATGGGATGACCCCAGGTTCAAGTGCTATGGGAGAGGGAGAACAGTGACCACATCTTGCATAATTATAAACACTTCCAGCATGTCTCTGTCTAAATCATCTTTTTTTTTTTAAGTTAAACAGCCCCAGTTATTGCATCTGCTTCTCACTGGGGAGTTGTTCTAATCCTTGATCATTTTCATTGCCCTTCTCCATACTTTTTCCAACTCAAAAATGCCTTTTTTAAGGTAAAGCAACCAGAACTGTACACAATATACTAAGTGTGGTCATGCCAGTGATTTGTATAAGAGGACTATGATCTTGGCAGTTCTATTTTCAATTCATTTCCTAATTTTGCCTAATACCGAGTTTGCCTTTTTCACAGCAGCAGCAGCACACTGGGTTGACATTTTCACTGAGACGTCCAGTACCACTCCCAATTTTCCTTTCTTGCTCAGTCACTGCTAGTTCAGATCCCATCAGCATATACTTGAAGTTTGCTTTTTTTTTTGTCCCAGCATGCATTAATTATACTTGCTTACCTTGAATTGCATTTGGCATTTTGATACTCCTTCTCCTAGCTCCTCACAATCCCTTTTGGTTTTAACCATCTTAAATAAGTTGGTGACCGCAACAGACTTGGCCACTTCATTGATTACTCTTGAATCCAGATCATTTATGAATAGGTTGAAAAGCTTTGGTCCTAATACAGAACCCTGTTTATTCCTACTCTCTGCTTTTTTAAAACTAATTACTGATCCATAAGAGGACCTCCCCTTTTTTTCCATGACTGCTAAGTTTGCTTAGGAGCCATTGTTGAGGGACTTTGTCAAGAGCCTTTAGGAAGTTCAGGTAAATGTTTTCTACCAGTTCACCCAGTACAAGTGTTTATTGACAGTCTCAAAGAAATCTAAAGAGTTAGTGAAGCAGGACTTAAATTTATGGAAGCCATGCCAGTTCTTTGCTACAAGATTTGTCCCTCTATCTGCTTATGAATTCTATTTTTAATAATACTTTTAACCAATTTATCCAGAACTGATGTAAAGCCTACTGGCCTGCATTTCTCTGGATCTCCTAGGGTCCCTTTTTAAAAACTCATGTTTCATTGGCTATTCTCCAATCCTTTTGGTCCAAAGGCTGATTTTAGGGACATATTATTTTGGTAAAAATGCCAGCAAGTTCATATTTAAGTTCTTTCATAATTCTAGGATGGATACCATCTGGGCCAGGTGATTTACTGACTTTTCAGTTTGTCAGTGAGGTTGAGAAATTCATTTTACGTCACTACTGTGTGCCTTAATTCCTCTGACTTCCTCCCAGAATACATAACCTTAGGAACAGGTGTTCTGCACCCTCTGCTGTGAAGACTGATTTAAAAAAATCATGAGGCTTCTCTACAATCTCCTTGTTCCCCGGTTAGTTGCATTATCATCCAATTGTCCAACTACTTCTTTAGCCAGTTTCCTTCTTCTGATATATTTAAACATTCTTTATTGTTGGCCTTGATTTTGTTAGTAATACAAACCTCACACTGTTTCTTTGCTTCTCTTATGGTTTGCTTGCATTTCTCTTGTGCAAGCTTGTGGTCCCTTTTGTTTTCTCAGTTAGCTGTTAAAATGTTGGATATGCAGTTACTTGTAAATTGTTTATGACAGGCAAAACAAGCAAGTGTTTTGACTATTAATGCTTTTTGAGTAATAAAAAATAACATTTGTCTTCAAATAAATAAACGCTTTGGACAGTATGTTGTACAGTAAGTTTTTTGTGATGTGGGTCATGTAGCCTCTTGCAGTGAATGTTTAAGCTGTCTTAATATCACATAAAAGGAAGCCTGCTTGCCATTGTCTGGGCTGCTGAGCTCTTGGAAGGGCTGCATGATGAAGATGTAAGGAACTGGAAGTACAGTGGGCCAAAGGAAACAGAACAGGGTTTGGTAGAGAGGCTCAGAAAAATAGAGAATGTGGGAAAGGTAGACTTTATCAGTAATCCTTGCAATAGGGGTAAATTGATGTTAAGACACTTTCGATTTCCAATGACCAAATTTCTCATTTTAAAATCAAAATATTTCTTAAAGAAGCATGCAGGCTATCTGGTTCTCCCCCTCCCCGCAAAA